CGCGGCTGGGGAGAGCGCCCGGGAGCTGGCGGGCGCTGCGGAGCCCGTTTAGTCCTAACCTCAATCCCGCGAGGGAGGGGACGCATCGTCCTCCTCGCTTTACAGACGCCGAAACTGAGGCTCCCATTAGAGACGTGACTGGCGCAGGGTAACACACAGGAGCGACAGCCGGGAGGTGAGCCGGGTCCCAGCGGCTCCACGGCCGTGGCTCGCAGTCACCCCAGAGATGCCGTGGCCCCTAAGGCGGGCATGATCGGGCAGCGTTTGCCCGGTGCTGGAGAGTGAGGGAGAGCTGCCCGGGCTTGACCGGGCGCTGGTCTAAAAGTCCTGGCTTTTACCCCTCCTCCTTCCTCCCCTGTTGACCGTTCCGCTTTGCAGAGTTTTCAAAAACTGGAGCGAAAGTGATGTGGGCGGGGCACAGGCGGCGGGAAGAGGGGAGTTGAGGCTGGCGCGGGAACTTGGTTTCCTGGCGGCCTCCCATCCAATCCCCACGAACCAGCTTTCCTCTTAAACCTTGAAAAGAGAAATTCGGGAGTCCGAGTATAAGTTCTTATTCGTCCTTTCCTCTTTTCCTTTCAGACAGGATCACCCCAGGCAAAAACTAACTGCCTCGCGGGTTATTGGCGTCAGGCTTTCAGGGGACAGTGGGGCGGGGTGGGCACAGGACGTTAGGCAGCCGATGGCCCTGCCTAACGTCACACGGTCCTGTCATCCTGGATCCTGCGCCTGCTGCGTGGGGGAGGGGAGACTCCAAGGTGTGTAAGCCAGGGGCTGACCTTGACCTCTCAGATACATGGAGCGCAGCCTTGACACAGGGTTGGAGGTGGTTTTGAGTGGGGAAACCCATTCTTGATGAAGCAGATTCACTGTGGTTAGGTAGGGGGAAAGCCCTCTAGCCCACGGAACCATCTAGAGACTGGAATACACACCAGCTGCTGTGGCTGATCCGCGTGGGGCAGCTTGGGGAGTTTTGTCTAAGCAGAGGGATCCACTTTTCTGCAGCTTCAAGGCCTTTGATAAGCCATAGACCTCACTTTTAACCCACCTTTCTGCTTAGACATTGAGCAAGTTACTTCTCTTTTCCTTTTTTTTTTTTTGAGGTGGAGTCTCACTCTGTCGCCCAGGCTGGAGTGCAGTGGCGCGATCTCGGCTCACTGCAACCTCCGCCTCTCGGGTTCACGCCATTCTCCTGCCTCAACCTCCCGAGTAGCTGGGACTACAGGCGCCCGCCACCACGCCCAGCTAAATTTTTTGTATTTTTAGTAGAGACGGGGTTTCACCGTGTTAGTCAGGATGGTCTCGATCTCCTGACCTCGTGATCCGCCCGTCTCGGCCTCCCAAAGTGCTGGGATTACAGGCGTGAGCCACCGCGCCCGGCCTCAAGTTACTTCTCATACAGCTTCCCTATATGTTAAAAGTGGAGGAAATAATGCTCCGTAGGCGATTCTGATAAAAGCAGGTGCTTGCAAAAATCTCTCTCTGTTGTCTGAATATCAGCTATACCACAAGGGAGTGTGGGATGAACGAGTACTGCAATTAAAGATAAGTTTTTACACTTTTATTTCTCTGTGGCTCGACACTTCTGATGCCTCCCTTTTTGTCCCTGGGACACAGGCTTGGTGGTGTCTTCACACCTTTGTGACAGGATTAGCACTAGTGGGCAGTGGATAGTAGCTCCTCCCTTTTTCCACGTGGTCATCCCTCCTCTTGCCACCATCTCACTGTGTGGAATTCCTGTGTCCAGTGGTCACCGGGGCACAGAGGTGCTGTCTCAGCCTGAACTGGGTTACTGATGTGCCTTGCAGCCTGGCAGCTCCACCCTGATCTCTGGCCCACTTTGCGGGAGTCTAGGCTTTCTGGATGCTCCAGGGCCTCGTGTCCCAGGGCAGTTTTCTTCCCTGAAGAAAGTTGGATGGCATGATCTGTCTTCCTCTCTTGAAACTGTGTGGCAAATTGTTTTTCAGATGAATTTCCTCTGCTGACAACCAAACGTGTGTTCTGGAAGGGTGTTTTGGAGGAGTTGCTGTGGTTTATCAAGGTAAAGAAGTCGCTACTATTAGAAGTCATTAGTCTATTTTCAACACAGCAGCCAGTGAGATCCTTTCAAAAGTCAAAGCGGCCAGGTGCGGTGGCTCTCGCCTGTAATCCCAGCACTTTAGGAGGCTGAGGCAGATCACCTGAGGTTAGGAATTTCAGACCAGCCTGGCCAATATGGCGAAACCCCCATCTCTACTAATAACACAAAAAATTAGCCAGGTGTAGTGGCACACGCCTGTAATCCCAGCTACTCAGGAGGCTGAGGCATGAGAATTGCTTGAACCCAGGAGGTGGAGATTGTAGTGAACTGAGATCGTGGCACTGCACTCCAGCCTGGGTGACAGAGGGAGAACTTGTCTCAAAAAAAGACAACACAAAAGGTCAAAGCATATCATTCCTCACCCTCAAGCTCTTAGTGGCTCCATTTCACTCAGTAAGAGCCATGGTCCTTATGGGGTCCCTTTTCAGCTCTGGCCTTAGCTGCTGCTCTCTGCACCAGCCCTGCTGTTCTTGTGAGTTTTTGAGCACACCAGGACATCCCCGCTCCCTGGAACCTTCTTCCCCCACACTTGGCTCCTTCCTTTGAGTCTCTACTCAGGCAAGCCTTCCTAGACCTGATTTAAAACTGTGACTCTTCCCCCCACCTCCTTGGTTTTTCTCCATAGACAAACGTCACCATCTGATGTATGTCAGCCTTTCCCCTCCCCTGTTAGAAGGGGGACAGCAGACAGTAAATCAGTGAAATGTGCTGTAAGCTTTATGAGGGCAGAGGATTTGTTTCTCGTGTTCACTGTTGTATCCCTAGGGCCTCAAACACAGCCTGCCACATAGCAGGAGTCAATATGTATTGATCACTAAATATAGATACCATCTGTGTTCCCATGTTCATATAAACTAGAAGAGTGTCTTCAGTAACAAGGTGAACCCCTTCCAGAGGGCTGAGTAGGTAACCTCAGGCCGGGGCCAGAGTGCTCTGAAGACAGGCAGCAGCCCAGCCCAAGCTCCTCTGTGTTCTGTATCCTGGTCTAGAACCAGCAATGTTCTGACCAGTGCTTTTTGGAAGGTAGCTGGAGTCTGGGCTCAGGTCTGGGCCATGCTAGAGGCTGGGATCCCTTCTATAGAGCACTTGGTGTGGCTTGTATGGTCCTGGGGCTAAGCCAGACCCAAGCCCTCTTATCCCATTTTAGAAAGGGCTTAAATTTGGATCCAGCCCCAGTCTGCCTTAGCTCTGTATTCTTGGGGTATTTTGTTCTGTATTGGCCTATCTCGATCGACAGTGAGCCTTGGATTTGAAACATATCAGAAACCTCAGAAGATGACATTCTTAAACTGGCTAGAGCCTGGTCTGAATGGATGAAAAGGAGAGACTTTTGAAGCAATATGTGAAAGACTGAGAAATGATTTGTTGGGAATAAAGAAAATCGGGACAAACTCAACAATAGAAAGGGAGGAAGCAAGAGACTCAGGAATAAAATGCATTCCCCTGTTTCAACTTAATGCTTGAATTCAGGATTCTAAGAAGTCTTTGCCAGGAACGTCAGACTCACCTCTGATAGTCATAGTCAGAGTTACTCCATTGGCGACTCGATCAATACAGGAGTTGATGCACCTGTACTGTAAAATACTGATTAGTCTGATCATTAGGAATATCCTGCCAGGTAGCGGATACACGGAACAGATTGCATGTAGGCATTAAATTCATTTTGGGATATCACATGTAGACAACACATTTGATTAGGAAACATAAAACTCTCAGATCGGTGGATATCACTTAGAGGTGTTTAGTCTAGAAAGCTTAGTTGGGGGGAATGGAAGAAAAGATCTGAGAGGGTGGTTCCAAAGAAGGGATCAGATTATCCTAAAGCCCTCAGGAATCTGGGCTGGGACCAGCCTGCTTAAAGTTAGGATGGGCAGCTGGGCGCGGTGGCTCACACCTGTAATCCCAGCACTTTGGGAGGCCAAGGTGGGCGGATCACCTGAGGTCGGGAGTTTGAGACCAACATGGAGAAACCCCATCTCTACTAAAAATACAAAATTAGCCGGGCATGTTGGCGCATGCCTGTAATCCCAGCTACTCGGGAGGCTGAGGCAGGGGAATGGCTTGAACCCAGGAGGTAGAGGTTGCTGTGAGCCGAAATCACACCATTGCACTCCAGCCTGGGCAACAAGAGCGAAACTCAAAAAAAAAAAAAAAAAGGATGGGTTCCATATGGGTGATGTCAAGTGCCCACCTCCCAGCAAGTCAGCAGGGGCCAGAGGCCCTTGTAGGTGGTGTCTTGGGGGGATCAACTGAGATGGCTCAGGATTTACTTGGATGCCTGCTCTGCCCTCCCCATCTCTTCCAGGGATCTACAAATGCTAAAGAGCTGTCTTCCAAGGGAGTGAAAATCTGGGATGCCAATGGATCCCGAGACTTTTTGGACAGCCTGGGGTTCTCCGCCAGAGAAGAAGGGGACTTGGGTCCAGTTTATGGCTTCCAGTGGAGGCATTTTGGGGCAGAATACAGAGATATGGAATCAGGTGAGGACACAGAACAATGCCTTCCATTTCCTGAGTGCCCTTCCTGGCATGTGTTTGCTCTGTTGTTTTAGATAAGGTCTGGGGGATGAGTCAGTGTCCCAGGAGCTGATGTATAGCTTTGACCTTGTGAGGGGTGGTGCCAGTGAAGCCACAGTTAAGCCTCATGAAGGCCATTTCACACTCTTGATGATTAGTACTTACTGGGTGCTTGGCACTTTCCATACCTGTGTCATCGGCAGATAGCCGCATGGTTGCTGTTTGTGTTGGGGAATGGGAAGTTCATCCGTGGGACAAGGGACAAAATGCCCCCATTGCTTTGTGGTGGCTTTAATTGCCCTTTCAAGGCTGAGCCACAGCGTGCTGTAGGTGGCGCAGCTGTGAAGCACAGTGCCAGGGTCACCCTCTGCTGCCAGCTCTGCAGATGTGGAGAAAGAATGAAACATCTCACTCCTGGACTTCCACTTTACTGTCGCTGTTGGTGTCACTTCTTGCTGGATGTCAGCCCAGCCCCTCCCACCTGTCCCTAGGAAAAGCAGATGCCACCTTGGGATGTGGGGGTTGTGTGTGCAATTTACTAGCTGGGCAGAGACCAGCAACCTGGAGAGCATGTGTCTCATCTAAGGGGACAGTCACAATTTACCTCCAGCCACCTGGAGGAATTTGGGCCTGGTGATGTCAGAATTATTCGATAAAAGCCTGAAATCTACATTTTATGTGCGATCATGAGATCTTTTAAATGTTAGTGGTTTCAGGAAGTTTAAAAATGCTGTGTGGACCTAGAATAGGCAGGTTCCTAAAGGCAGAAAGTGGAATGGTGGTTGCCAGGGACTGGGGAACAGGGAGGAATGCGGAGTTCATGTTTAATGGGCACAGAGGTTTTATTAGGGATGATGAAAAAGTTCGGGAGATGGATAGTGGTGATGGTTGCACAACATCGGGCATGTGCTGAATGCCTCTGAATTGCACACATAAAAATGGTAAGTTTGATGTTACGTGTACTTTATCACAATGAAAACAGTTGCTGTGCGGGCCAGGTTATTTGTGCAGGTAAGTGTTCTTTAGGTCGTTGCCTGCACCTCAGTTGTAGGGTGTCCTTAGGATGTGAGGCTACTCCCCTGGCTTAATGATGCTTTAAATCCTGCCTAGTGTTCAATTCTTTCTTGGCACTGAAGAGGCCTAATAAAATTACGGTTTTAGTTTACAGTTGTATGAGTGCTTAGCTGTTGGATTTTAGTAGGGAAGTTTGTCCCTTCTTGTTTTTGATTTTGTTTTACAGACTCACAGGACATTTTTTAAAAAAAACGCACAGAAAGTTTCCCTGGACTGTACCCAGTTTCCTCCAGTGATAATATCTTGGGTAGGCCGGGCGCGGTGGCTCAAGCCTGTAATCCCAGCACTTTGGGAGGCCGAGACGGGCGGATCACGAGGTCAGGAGATCGAGACCACCCTGGCTAACACGGTGAAACCCCGTCTCTACTAAAAAATACAAAAAACTAGCTGGGTGAGGCGGCGGGCGCCTGTAGTCCCAGCTACTCGGGAGGCTGAGGCGGGAGAATGGCCTGAACCCGGGAGGCGGAGCTTGCAGTGAGCTGAGATCCGGCTACTGTACTCCAGCCTGGGCAACAGAGCAAGACTCCGTCTCAAAAAAAAAAAAAAAAAATCTTGGGTAACATCCTGTATACATTCACATTGGTGCATTCTTCAGAGTTGTCAGATTTTGCTAGTTTTACGTGCACTTGTATATGTGTGTATTTGCAATTTTAGCATGTGTAGATTGTTGTAACCACTACAATCAAGTTACAGAACTACACCACCACAGTTTTATCTTTTTAAAATCTTCGATGTTACCTTTTTCAGAACTGTGACCGTGAGAGGACTTTCCTCCCAAAATTTTGAGAACTACTGAACCAGAATACAGTCTGACACTAATAGGCAGAAATTTAACCAGAGGAGATTATGAAGCTCCGCACTTCAGTTAACAAATCACTTCTCAGAATCTCAGATGGAACAAATCAGTTCCATCTCAGAAGGAAGGAAAGGGATTAAAATTCAGAAACCAGAAATGGGAGCAAAGTACAAGGTGGTGTAATCATTATAGAGGTTTCTTGACGTTTCCAAGTCAGTCGTGTGTTGAGCTGCTAAACTCTAAAGTAATTTTAGGTGGAAGTGTTGGAAGCATGCTGCTGAGGTAATAGAAAGGAATCCATGGTCTTCTGTTAGTTGGAAAGTACATGGAATGCTATATTCTACATAAGATACATACTTTCTGTGAGACAAGGATAAACTAGATTTGTCAGTGAAATTGTGACAAGAATCGTTGATGGGTTTAGAGCGTAAGTTCGTGGGGAGCACTGGAAGAAATTAAGATTGTTGAGATTAGAAAGGGTTAGCTATGAGGGGAACAGGAGGAGGTGACTCCATGACAGACCAGATATTCAAAGGACTGTGTAAAAGAGGGAAATAGACTTTGTTAGGGCTCCAGAGGACAGAGCCGGGAGTCAGACACGGCCTTGAACTCAACCCACCGAGATCTGCAAACTTTATGGAATGCACCAGGTATCTTGTAGCCATGGGTCAAGGGGGGACCCTGGGTGAGAGGCTGTAATAGATGACCTCTAAGGCCATCTCATGACATGTGTGATTAATGTGTGTACCTGTCCTCTCTTTTTGACAATTCTACAGATTATTCAGGACAGGGAGTTGACCAACTGCAAAGAGTGATTGACACCATCAAAACCAACCCTGACGACAGAAGAATCATCATGTGTGCTTGGAATCCAAGAGGTTGAAAGAACCCCATCATCTTCATTTATACTAACCATACTCTTAGAGGGAAGCAATGTGGTTTTGTGCAGAGGCACCTGAGGGAGGCAGGACCCTGGGAACTTCCCCCAGCCACATGGTTGGTTGTGTGACCTTGGGCAAGTCACATTTTGCTCCACTTTCACCTTCAGATCATGAGGTTGGATCCAGATGATTTTCTTTTTTTTTTTTTTGAGACACAGTCTCACTCTGTTGCCCAGGCTGGAGTGCAGTGGTGTGATCTCAGCTCATAGCAACCTCCACCTCCCAGGTT